AGTTTTTCCTCATTGTTGATCCGAAGTCACGGCTGCGAATAGTAGCGCCTTACTTCATTAACTTAATATTTTTTTTTTCGAATGGCAGGCACTGAACTTTATTCGTTTCGCCCAGGGACTAATATAGGGCCTTAGAAGATACTGGAGGTGTTACTCATTTCGCGTTACCCAGTGGGCACCTGTGAGCCAAAGTCGCGGAGGTGAGTGACATTGCTCACGCCACACTGCCCCAAACCCGTTCATAGGGTGGGTCACTTTCACCTATCACACACAACAGAGGACAACACAAAAGAGAGAAACATCCATGCCCAGGGCGGGATTCGAACCCGCGGCCATTGGCTTCGCAGTCAGGCGCGCTAACCGCTCGGGCACCTGGCCGGCTCATTAACTTAATAAAATCGAAGAGAAAATGATATGAAATGTATTCTAACATGCTCCCCATTTCCTAAAATCTATAGAAGTAAGATTAATATTATCTATTAAACTTTGACTTCTTCTGCCTGTTTTAAGTTCATTGAGTGAAATACCGCGGTTTTGTTCTCTTTTTGTATTTGGGATATGTTGTTTGAACTGTGGTATGCTTAAATATAGCATATCATTTTTTATCACTTCTGAAAGTTTGTATCTCTAATAATGAGATACTTTTTAATGAGATGTCGGATGGTTTGAGGAAGTTGTCACACTATATCCAACTTCTCTAAATAAAAACTGAATTTTTAAACTTTAACCCCTTTATTATTGAAACTATGTCTCTGAATCCATAGTTTCAACTGATAAAAAATATTTGCTTCCATTAGTACATAAATAATGCTTTCATGGTGTTTTTCTCATCTTCTTCAAGTTACTATGGATTCTGAGACGCCTGATGTGCCCTTGTGATCTAAATTTTCTTTTTTCTCTTTCCTTTATTTGTGCACCAGATATAGTTCGTAACATCGATTCAATTTTGAGTTTACGATTACCAATGTTTAACTCTGTAGCCTTGTAATTTTGAACCCAATCCTGAAGACAAGAGAACTTTTGGATCAAGTAGCAGGAGATATTTGTCTTCATGGAGGACTTTCTGATGGAGCTAACCTGCAGTTGCATTACATGGAGAGGAAAGTCACAAAATCCTTCCATAGTCGGCCTGATGCCAAGGAGACTCTAACCCATGCTCCATCTACCACTGAGGATATTTTACGTCAGCGCCGCAATCGGTGCGAGCCGGGTGCGGAATTCGTATCGACCAGCCATCGCTGGAATTCGAACCCGGGTCACCTCATTGGAAGACGAGCGCTCTATCTCCTGAGTCACCACTGCACCACACAGTAACGATTAAGTTCGGTATAGTATGGTCGAAAACAATAACGCCTTAAAAAACGAAAATAGAGTGATTTCGTACACTCACGCAGTATCTTGTGTAAATTCTGTAGAGTTTATTTTGTGTTTTATAGATCGTACGACCGAGAGCATACGGAATTTTACGTGAGAGTACGAAATGTCTCTAGGGATTTTGGCTGTTGATTTTCGATATAATCTCTGTTGATTTTCGATATAAAATGTTTAACATTTTGTAATAGAATACTTTGCTAAAATAAACAGTTAAAAGGATATTTTTTTGGAAATATTTTTTTGGGGAAAACTTTATTAAAGATAATGTTCCTGGAAACAAAATGCTATTTCTGCTTTTTCTTAACTATTTTGACTAAATATTAATAACTAAACTTTTCCTTTAATCACAATTTAAAACTTAAACCTCGCATAAACATTAACTAAATAGTGCTCATTCAATCAGCCCTGAGAGGATAATATTTTAGACAACAAATTTGAATTTAAATTAGAATTTTACTCACTTCTGATAGAAAAACATTTTTAAGTCTTATATTTGGATGTCCGCTATATTGAAAAGAATAGATTCATCAAATCAAAATAGAAGTTGGGGTTGGTATTAAAATTCCAGAGACCTATCGCTTTCAAATTCCATGATCACAATTCAGACGTAAAATAAGGTACCGCTCTGATACACAATCTTTTAATGAGTCCTGATTAGCAAATGGGGGCGTTGGGCACATTAATTTGCATAAGATAATTGAAATTAGCTTAGTTTTCTGCACAAGATACTTTGACCCAATTTCATTTTCTTCAATTGTCTTACAGCTTTAAAATACAACTTTCCCTATGGAAACTATAAACAATGTTATTCTGATATAAATTTATTAAATTAATCAAAATATGTGTGTATAAATATGAAGAAAAAAATAATTTAAATTTTAAGCATAAAAATTTCTCTTTAAATAATAGTTCGTATTATTTTTTGGATCTTTAATCCATTGTATATTTTCTAAATACTATCGTTTTTTCATCCACCGAACATTAGAGTTTTGATTACTTCCGGGAAAATAAATAGTTATCATTTTATTGATTATATGTTATTTTTCTACAGTGTTATCTATTGTTTACATATAACCGGTACTACTTACTTTCTCATTAAGTATTTAGGCAGCACTGCAAAGAAATTCCGAAAAAATTTACGGTAAAAAGTACCGGTACTTTGGGTGCATCACACTACAAAATCCATTTTACTGCAAAAATCATTTTTGTCGGGAAATTTTACACCGCAAATTTTGCAGTAATATTTACATAATTTCTATGATCCAGTGATTTTATGGTAAATACTAAAAAAATTACGGTCTATAAGATTCTTTGTTCAGTAAAATTTGACAGTAAAAATCGGTTTTACTGTAAAAAGTAGTGGCATTTTGGATGATAGTAATTTTTACCAGATACTTTACAGTGTTATCTATTGTTAACATATAACCGCTACTACTTACTTTCTCATTAAGTATTTAGACCGCGCTGCAAAGAAATTCCAAAACAAATTACGGTAAAAAGTACCGGTACTTTGGGTGCATCACACTAAAAAATCTATTTTACTGCAAAATTCATTTTTACCGGGAAATTTTATACCGTAAATTTTGCAGTAATATTAATATAATTTCTATGATCCAGTGATTTTATGGTAAATACTAAAAAAATTACGCTCCATAAAATTCTTTATTCTCTAAAATTTGACAGTAAAAATCGGTTTTACAGTAAAAAGTAGTAGCACTTTGGGTACCGGTAATTTTTACCAGAATTTGATCCAGAATTTGTCACAGTGAAACATATGACCAAGTCACATTTCATTTCCGAAGTTTTTTGGTTATTGAATGTTTTGTTCAAGCATTCGGGGATTTAAACTGGCAGCATTTGCTTGCTAGCCTGCAGAAACTGGCCCGGTAAAGAATTTACGGCTATAAATTTCATGCATCCTGTCATTTTCCTTTTAATTTATTGAAGGATTTCTTTTATCTAAATATATTTTTGGTCTAATATTTTAGATGGTACACATTCATAAGGAAATGTGATATTATAATTGTATTCAGTTGAAATGAAATAATATCATTGAGGGTATTACAGATACAGTTGCAAGATCAACGATAAATATCATAGGATTTGAGATTTTAAAATGATAAATATTTATTGGGTTAGCACAATATTTGTATCTCTATTGTGCTGTACTCTTTAAAGACGGTTGCCATCGGCCTCAAAAGGAAGCCTTCGCTAAAGATTAGTGAATATTTCTTCAATGGAATTATCGGCGATGTTAAATGTGTTTTGTGGTTAACTGATGTTCCTTTAAAGATGAGTAAAAATGTTCAGTTTTACTTAGTTTATTCTTCATTTACTGAACTTTTCAGACATACATGTATATTTTATAATAGTAAAGTCAACTTTTTTTCTTTTAATTTAAAACAATATCTGCAATTATCACGATGATCTATAACAACTACGTAAAAATGTATTTTTAATTTCGAAATATGTGGTATGAGTTCGTAGCATTGCTACAAAGGTAATTCTTAATAAAATATTTATTTCGTTATTTACTTATTTCTTTATTACTTCTTTGTTTCTCTTTTTCAAAGCAATGTCACTGAATTTTATTTCAAAACACTATTAAGGTTTAAAAAAGATAATTAAATATTTTTTATTAGCAACCTCTTTTTAGAAACAAGAAAGTTCTAATTTTAATCTTAACTAGAAGGAAAATTTTTTTCACGAAAGTACGTTTCTGTATTTTAATGCAACTTTTACGTATTTTCGGTATTTTAATATTTTAAAAATTTTTGTGTTGTTTTTACAGTTATAACCATCTCATATTTTCAAGACCCTCCAATAAATAAGCGATCGTGGTCCTCTTTTTAGTTTAGCTATTAGAACTTGGAATTAGATATATTTAAGGCCTTATTAACTTCTCTAAGCACTGTAAGAAGAGCATATAAGTAATCAGAAATTTTATTCCTCCTACAGTGTTACAAATTTAAAATGTATTGAACCATATTATATTTCAGATGAGCTGAAACCTTAATACTGTGCTAAGTTAAACCACAGTATCGTTCAAATTAGCTGAAACCTTAATGTGGTGCCAAGTTAAATCACTATATCGTTCAAATTAACTGCAACCTTAATATGGGGCTAAATAAAATTACAATATTGTTCAAATTAGCTACAACTTTAATATGATGCTAAATAAAAACACATTATCGTACTTCTTAAGATTGTTAAAATAGTTTAAATTGAACAGAAACATGTTTATATTTAATACCTTATTAACGTTACCACAAAGTTGTACTATATTACCGTACGAGGTGCCCGTATTACAGTTCATCTTTGAATATATTTTCTATAAGATTGAACCTCAACCACATAAAATAAAGTAGGAATAGAAAAGAACAAATACACAAGAAAAGATTTCTTAGTGCCTAAATTATTAAGAAATATATCTTTTTTCAGCAATTTAATTAAATTTTATTTCAGAAAATTATTCAGGTTTAAGAGAGACCATTAAACGTAATTTTTATTACTAACTTCTTTTCTGAAATTTTGAAGTTCTGTTTTTAATCTTAGCTAGAATAAAATGAATCTTTCAAAAACACACCCTTCTGTATTTTTATACTATTTTTGTATTTTTTTCCCAGTTGCAACTGTCTCAAATTTTCAAGAACCTTCAATAAATAAGCGATCAAGGGCCTCTTTTTAATTTAGTGTCCAGAACTTGGAACTTGATATCTTAAGGCCTCACTGACATCTCGAGCAAACTTTAAGAAGAGCTTTCAAATAATCGTGAACTTTATTCAGCCTACTTAATCCCCGTAAAAGGAAAGTGGAAAAAAAAGGAACGAATGCAGAAGAAAACACCCCCTAGTGCCTAGGATTAGAAGCAATTGCAAAAAGAGTGAAAAAAAATTCAAGTTGTATTCCCTGAAGTAAACAAAGTATCTGATTTGACTGAAACGAACTTTTAGAACTAAAAGAATATGAAGAGAAACAGCAGTTTTTTTTTCTTTTCCGTTCTCATTGTAAAGAATGGAAATGAAATGTTTGTTTCTTGATCTTTTGAAAACACTTAATACGCACAGTTATGTGCTTCGTGAAACTGTAATTCGTTGAAGTAAAAACTCACTTAAACTTGGAGGAAAGTAAAACAAATGTAAGTTTTTTGTTCAAAAAATTTAAAAAATAAAGTGCAGTTTGGTTTTATTTATTAAATAATTTAAAATGACTAACAGCAGGATAGTCATTGACAATAGTCTTTATTCTAGATATAATTATATAGTATTTGTATAAAAGTTTTCCTGGGTTTTTTTAGAAACGAAGAAAAATTTACTTTTAACTAAAACTTACTCTCTATGATTTTTCCAACAATAAAAGTTTTTTGATGTTTTTCTTTTCACGTTATGGAATATGAAATACAGAAAAAAATAATAAAAACGTGAAAAGTGTAGATGTAACTTAAAACCTCTAAATGTATTTTTCTCTTTCTTAATCAAAGTGGCTCAACTTACAGAATATTTTCATACCTTATTGCTTAAGGAAATTTAATCAAAATATTTGTAAACTTTATTAGTGCATAATTTAAAAAAATGATGGATAAGGTATTACTCTTCATGCATTACACTATTAAAAATTATTAAAATCTCTAGGTAATCTATAGAATCTTTGGCATTCTATAGAATCTCATCTCTAGAAAATGTGAGAAATAAGAATCGTGTCATGCACTACCGGCTAGTTTTAGGCATTCTATAGAATGCCGGATTTCAAACTTTACTGGTAACATATACACATTTTGAGGACCACTCCCGAAATGTACTAGTTGAATTTCAAGAACAGTGAGCAAAATAAAAAATGGAACACCCTGAATGACTTTTGATCTAATGATCGGATCGTCACATGCTAGGACTCAATCTTAATGGTTTAAGGGGGTGATCTCAAATATGCTATTTAATTAGTGACAAAGATATTTTAAATTAAGAAATAAGATACAAAAAAGTACTTTCTATGAATAAAATTGAACACTTCGTGAAATTTAGCAAAATTCGCATAAAGAAAAATTAACATTAGGGGTCCAAAGTTTTGATCATTTTCCTGACCAAACTATTGGAACCATAATTTGCAGATTGCTGATACCCCCTATATTATGGGGGTCATAAATTCGAATCTGTCGAAAAAAATGATGATTATTCACAGAAAATACGTTTTTGTGTCTGATTAAGTAACTTATAATATTGTCTGTACTAATTAATTATCGTACTTGAAATAGTCCACTCGAACCATTAAGATTGATTCCTAGAACCTGAAGTTCCAATCAGTAGATCAGAAGTTATTCGGGGTATGCCGTTTTTTATTTTGCTCACTATGTGTCGAAAAAAAAGTGCCTCTTGAATTAGTGTCCTTCATAGGCGAAATAAGGTCTCGCAAAATTTACTCAACATTGTTTTTCGTACTCACAGACTACTCAAAAGCTTAAAATTTTAAACAATTTTAATCAAAAATATCACCATCTATATTTTCTATGCAGTTCCCATTACACATGCAAATTTCAGATTATTTTCAAAGGATCTAATAACTGTTGAATTGTTTCCTTCGTTTAACGTTTACTTAATTTTTTTTATACTACATTATCTATTCAGAAAATTTTTAATTTGAAGAAAGTCGCTCTCGACGAAATATATTATATTGGACGAATTCTTTTCCTTTCCACGACACCAAATGGTATCAGTTAAATAAAAGAAAAAATTTCGCAAATGATTAACTGTTCATTCAAAAACATGCTAGGTTTATTTCAAATAAGTTTTATTATTTCAATAAATAAGCATCGCATCTGAATCGTAAACGGAATAATATTATCAAAGAAAAAATCTGTTAAAACTATCTTTTTACCTAAAGCAGAATTTCAAATTGTATGTAGAAGGCCTTAAATACCAGAGAAATATAATATTTTAAACATAATAAAATCATAAACTTATTAAAGCGATTTAATCAGTTTACTTTATATCCCGATTTACTTTAGTTTTTAATTCCATTATGAAAACAACTACTGAACATCTGAGTCTTTATTATGAAAACTGTTTAAACGTATAAGGTATAGAATTAATTATTTTTGTTTCAAAAATCTTGAAGTTTGAGGCAATTTCTAAATAGATTCGGATAATTGAAGCAACTCTAATGCGTGTAAGTTATTTGCCCTGAAGGACTTTTAAAATGTTCATTCTTTTACCTCGCATAATTAAATTTCTTTCAAAACATACATATGTTGACTGAATTTTCATGTATGAATAGATGAATAATTTTTATTTTCCGGCTTATAAAGTATGTCAGTATTTCAAATTTGCTGCAGTTGATCTTGCTAAAATATGTAACCTGACTCTTATTGAAGTCATTTAAATTTTCGAATAAAATATTTCCAAACTATCACAGCAGGAAAATGAAGTAAAATATAATAGCCATTTCGTAATGTTTCAATGCGAATAACTCAGTTATTTTAAATATTCATGCAATTTTGATTCTTAACTGAGTAAAAAAATGCAGACAATGCATGAAATATAATTAATTTAGATTCATTTTGTTTTTAATTTGAATATAAAGTGGCGAAATTGAAAAAAAAAATAATTCGGGTAAATTTAAAAAGAAACTTATTGGTGCAAAAATACCAAAATTTCATGCATAAACAAAAAAGCATTTTTGTTAAATAATTCAGTTATAATTATGTTTGTTTAAATATCATTTATCAGTGCTTAATTTTAAAATAAGTCTTTAGTTTTTAAAATGCTTTACTGAACTGATGTGAGATAATAGTGAGATAGTGTTAAGATATATAAGCTATCTCTGATAAAAATAATTTAAAGTTCCTAATAAAATATTTAGAAACTATTGAAGTGGTAAGAAAGAAGCATAATATAATAAGCATTTCGTAATATTTCAATGCGAATAACTCAGTTATTTTAAATAATCATCCAATTTTGATTTCTTAACTGAGTAAAAAAATTTAGACAATACATGAAATAAAAGTAATTTTCATTCCTTTTAGTATTAACTTGAATGTAAAGTGCCGAGATTTAAAAAAAGGAATTAATGGAAAAATAACACAATTTTATGCATAAATAAAACAGCATTTTTGTTAAATAACTCAGTTACAATTACGTTTGTTTAAATATCATTTATCAGTGTTTAACTGTAATAACTCAGTTATAATTACGTTTGTTTAAATATCATTTATCAGTGTTTAACTGTAAAAAAAAACTTTAATTTTTAAAATGCTTCGCTGAAATGATGTGAGATAGTTTAATAAAAAGGGACAATCTTGTTTAGCCATGACCTGAAGCGCAACTTATCATGATTGTCTAAATTGCCAGAATATTTGATATTTCAAAGAACACTTACAAAAAATAGTATAACATTTATGGGGGTAGTAAAAATATCAAACAAAAATCTGAGCCTGTCTGGAGGGTCTGAAGAAGATTTTTATTTTGAATTAAAAAGACTGTTTATAAAAGCGCAAAGGGTACTTAAAATCTCACAGGAATGATTTATAAGAGTGATTGATCAATTGGATACATTTTCAAACGAGATGGAATCTACTATACGATGCAATACACAAACGATAAGTTGAAATCAAATTCTGGAAAACGAGGAGAAGGACAAGGTAAAATGGAAAAAATCTCCAGGGCATTTTAGAGTTTTGTATTGCGTATTAATATTAATAATGAAAACTCAATAAGTGATGCAGCAGTTAAGGAATGAAGGTAAAACAAAATGGAAAAAAATATCATTAGGGCTCCAAGAGGTTTTGTATCTAGTATGAGTAGTTTTGTATCTACTAGTATCTGAGGTAAACCCATTGAAAGTGGAACTTGCACAAAAGGAAAATTTAGAACCGGTATTGCACTGTATTACTATGAGTTTTAAGACGACAAATAATTTGTGTCGTTTTTTAAAACTTCAAAAGAAATCAGAGAATGAAAAATCATTTTTAGCTTTTTAAAGTTCGATATAATATAATAATAAAGTAGATAAGTACGTTTAAAAATTTTTTTATGTTATAGTAAATTGACTTGTTTTTGCCACAAAGTAAAAAAAATGATGGATACTCAAATATCACAAAACTTCCTTTGTTTCTGACGAAACCATTTCCTGATATTTGCTCCGAACGAAAATTTTGTCAAAGCGACAAAACAGCAACCGCCACTTCTTTGAGGAAATAGATTTCATCTAAATTAAGGAAATCTTTAGTCATTCAGTTTTATTTTTCAAAAGAAAAATACGAGTTACATTGTTAATCACTTTTTCAAGGGCTCCATATAGGTACATCAATTTCACCCAAACAACACAACAGATAAAACTGAGCAATAAATTACATTCCTTCCCGAAACGGGATTCGAACCCGGGATCTTCCTGATATGCGTCTGATTCCTTGACCACCATATTATTCTGGTCATATAGTCTTCGTTCAATATTTTAGTCCTCATTTTAGTTAACAATTTCCCCCAATGCTATGCGATGAGCTTTAAATTAAGGAAACATTCTCGTCAAATATTTGAATGTTCGAGTTTCCTCACGTGAACGTGATTTCATGACAAAATTATTTTCAAAATTAATGAAATACAGCTCAATGATTGCAGAATCGTCAAAAATGAGAGTATAATTTCTGAGAGTGCAGCATAAGAATTCATTCATAAAAATAAATCAAAAATGGGGGCTCAGTACAAAAACTTAATAAATTAATCAGATTTTTTGATAAATGATTATTTTCAGAAGAGAGTATACGTAAAGCATGTCATCTAATATCGATGCTCCCATTCCAAACTTATCTAATACAACGTATTAATCGAATTTACTTCCCCTGCGGCTCTTGTTGTAGAAGGTAGGTTTGAAAGCTCGTAAATTCAGAGACAAATAATGTATATTACATAGTAAACAGAAACGCTTTTCTAATTAAAACACTTAATACCTTTCCGCTTTTACGATGCAGTGAGTAAAAAGAAGAAAACAGAGTTAGTTTCTTAAATAAGCTTGATAATTTATAAAGGTTTCTTTTCTTACAGCTATATAAGCTCTATTATAAATCATGAGAAAAATGCAGGTTCAAACATAACTTTTAATTAGAAACGCTGGGTAGTTTTCAAGAAACATTCAAA